TGGTCTATTACTACAAAACAGGGAGGCTAGGATAAATAGGCAAAGTATTTTCATTCCCAGTTCATTTGGCGCTCACCATCCACTTGTATGCCCTGTGGACCCAGCTGTCCGCCCTGGGTCGTCACAATTGGTCCACCCACAGAAACGGAACTTTTTCCTGCGATTCGATGATTGAAACAATTTAAAGCTGCCTGCTCAGAAGGACTTCCTCCGGAGGTGTTCACGTATGGAACCACAGCTGTAAGCTGCCAGCTAACCTTATTGATATACAAAAGTTGGCATGAATTAAAAGTGCCTTCGTCCCGGGTCGAATCAATTGTCCCGATTTTAAAAAAGGGTACTCGTACTTCATGCAGCAATCACCTGGGGGACTAGTCTCAATTCGATTGCCTTCAAGCAGTTGATATACACTCTAATTCATAGACAATCTCCGATTCGCAAATTAGAGTATCAGGATGCAAAAGCTGGCTTCCGTCCTGTCATTGGGTATGTGGATAAATCTGCACGCTCCGCTAAATCTTCCAACGTCGCCATCTCTACTATGTAAATGCCATCGGTGTCTTCCCAGACATACGTTCTGTATTCGACAAGGTTGATCGACCTGGGCCATGAGGATGCCTGTTAAGCAACGGTGTGGTATTCGCTAAGACGGGGTAGCGGATGATATCGATGCGGTACCGATGGGTTGGGGGCCAATCAAACGAAAACCGATTACGCATAACGAGTACGGCTTAGGGGAATGGAGAAAGAGCACGCCTTCTGGCAGCTCTAAAGCGGTTTGGTCGACCTTACGGCAAACGGATAGCTTACGCCTAATTCCATGGGGTAACAACGCGCTCAAATTTTTCTGATTGCCAACTGACGAACACTGCCGACTTGACGAGTGACTAATTAGCCACTAATCATAAGAACCACTTACACGGAAAGCATCCAACCCATTTGAATGAAGAAACTGCATAACTTCAGCTAGCAGAACAACGAATTGATCGGTGATACGGTAAGCAGATGACAAGCGCTGAGTTCATGTAGGCAATACGCCCAGCTGTGGCAAAGCGCCGATTTTGGGATCAGGAACTAACTGGTCTGACAGGTAATCAGACAACACCGTGCAGTCTATCCGTGATAGCAACAACGAGACCCAACGTAAAAATGAGCTCGGTAAGCATGGTCGGCCAGTTTGGAGAACGAGCACGAACGAAAGCATTTTAGCTAACGTCACCGTCCAGTTAGCAAAGATCATTCAGTGAACCCGCCACAGCGAAATAATATAGGTACTCTATAAAAATCCACGAATCTCCTACTGATTATTTTCCTCATCACCAAGATTTTCTTTTTGATTCTTGGAGAGCAACTCGACAAATGGAATCCCAGAAAACAATTCTGCTAACTTACGCACACTCTGACTCCACGTCTCCGACAGGCTGAGGGCTCATGACAAGCTTTCTTCCTCTTTCGCCGTCAATGGGGGTGTTCGACAGAACCGCATTATGTCCTCTTTACTCATTAACATGCGACTGAGAACCTCACCGCGAGAGCACTGGAGGGTTAAAACATGTGGCCAGCAGTTACAACCAATAAGGGATTGATCGAATTACACTATGTCGATAGCTTCGTCTTTCTTGGAGGCGACTCGCAGAGCTGCAGCGAAATCATGTCGTCATGCCTACACTCTTGCCGACGTCGGGTGGGATTGGATCCAATAAAAATTCCCGGTGACCTTTTTAACCAGTTAGTAGTCTTTTACTATTGCCAAATCTCCCTTGTTTAAATGTTTGTACAGCGGAACTGAATTTGTTGCCACAACATGTGTCTGTGTGTGAGGTGCACCTCCCTTGCTCTCACTAAGTTTGGTTATGGCTGTTCTTTGTTTTATGACCTTTAGAATCGTGGATACTTTCATTTCAGCCCATCGGATCTACGTCAGTTTCTACTGTGAGCATTGCACGTAGCAGAGTATGCAAACCATTCTGAACCGTTTGGTGGTTGGGACCCCTAGGTACGGAATATGCTTCGCTCTTTTGAAATGTAAGCTGTTCCACCAGGAAGGTCCTACAGCCGTTCCCGTGCTGCATCTTGAATTCACAAATGTTGAACAGGTGAATAGCTTTATCAAGCTGGGCAATTGCACGTATTCCGGTGGCAGTAATAAGCGGAAGATTTTCCCTGCATCTCCAGAACTTGGTTGCATTTTGTCATTCTGCAAGAGTTATGGGGCGTCGGGATGCCTACCTCTTGGTTAATGGTCTTGTTTACGATGCTGCCCTTCAGACAAGATTGCGATATAGAGGCGAGTCATAGTTGACATTCGCTAACTCTCGGGCTTCGACAATGTGTGCTTGAGGAGGATCCTGTGTGTGTGTAGTAGCGGCAAAGTATCTGCAACGGTGAATTCCGACTTTGTGTCTTAGTAGATGCGTTCATTCTCCCCAACAACCTGGTTTTGCTTTTTCAGTTAAAATGGCACTGTCACGTTGTGCGTGTGCTATCTGAGTGCTTGTCACATTGCAACTTTTTCACTCTTGCAGTACCTGCCTGGAAGTTACCACGTGGAGGTCAGCCATCCAGTTGGCGACAGCATACAATATTGCTAATTTCACTTCTCGCTGCCGTTGGATACACACATCCGCCCGTTGGGGAAGAAAAGACGAGGAGCGCCAATGGCTGAAAACAATACAAGATTTGGCGCATAATTGAAGGTAGTGGAATATCTGTATACTACTACTTACCCATTGAAAGCGACAAAAAGAGGAAAATTAGGCGTGTGAAAATATGGTAAAACAGTTCCGCACTATTTGCGGCACAATAGCTGGAATGTGTTGCCGAAATTCGGCTATTGTGCCATGCTGATGGTGTGATGATTAAACCTGTGATTGCCGTATTGTTTGTATGGTTCCTCGTCTATTTAGCAGACTGTTGCTACTATTAGTAACACGTATGCTACTACAACTGTTTCTATTATTATACTACTATTAATAATACTGTTATTAATACTACCACCACTACCGCTACTATTACTACAACTACTACAATTATTACTGTTACTACTGCTACTACTATTACTATTACTACAATTACTATTATTACTACTACTACTAATACCACTACTACTAATAAATATACTACTGCTAATACTACTACTACTAAACTGTTACTAATTTTACTACTGTAACCACTACTAATAATATCACTACTTCTACTAACCTTGTTACTAATATTACTGCTGCCACTACTACTACTTTAAATACTACAAATTCTACTACTGCTATTACTATTAAGACAACAACAGCTGCTGCTATTGCTACTACTTTTACTAATATTACTACTGCCACTACTAGTACACACCCTCAAACTTAAAGGACTTTCAGGCATCATCATCTGTATGATAAAGTTATGTTGGCGAGTGAATTAAGGAACTGGTCTAAGCTTTTCTTCTTATTTATGCTTACCCAAATCCGTGGACACTCCCAGATAATAGGATGGTCCCAAGATTAACATTTGTAACCAAACCCAGTCGGGTTACTGGATCATTGAGTTAATTGGGTTGTAGAGAGCAGAGGGGTGAACCCTTGTCCACTCCGTCGATTCCCTACACCTTTTTAGTGGGTTGTTGGTAAAAGTGCTACTGTTCTTTTATTTCGTTAAAATCTCATGTCTTATAAAGAAACACCTATTTCAATGAGGAAGTATACACGATGTATTCGGAAAGAAAGTTCCGCTCCCAGCCTGCAGTGTGACAATTTGTGTTTAACCTTCGTTGATTAATAAACTGCGCAGTAAAATATTTAGAAGCTTATCAGCTGCCATATACAGTCAAACGAACTTCCCAGTAACTTGTTCGTTACGCTTGCCATCAATAACCTGGTGCTCAATACAACTGTAAACATTGAATCTCACAAATTGTGTGTGTACTGGTCGGCTTACTGGGGCTGTAGAGAATTAGTAAGGAGGGGCGCGTGACCATTGAAATTAAATCACATATTTCGGAAGCCAAATAATTTCTTAACCCTGCGACATTTGTGCCACCAGCATAGGAGTTCTGTCTGTTCGGAAACGCTGTGTACACAAGCATTACTACTGTATAGAAGGAAACTTGGATGCTTTGGTCTAAAGTGTTGCAAGTATTTGATCATGGCTGCCTGTGGAGCATTTGTGCACTCGGGTGACTACGCTCGACAGAAGAAAACTGCTTTTTCTTAAGTGAAATCATCAGACACGAAGCTGTCTAAGTAGACAAAGCTGTCTGCTTCTTTAGGCTGTGTACCTTTATTAGTGAGCACTGGAACGAGTGATTTCTAGTACCTAAGCAGCACTTTATACTTTGACGAGGCAAAACATTCGGTACCTAGATGCCTCAATCGCCATGCGGTCTAGAATGGTTTGCATGCCCTGTGAGTCGCCGCCCAGTACTGCGATGTCGCTCGCTTGCCCGGCAGTAGTTACAGAATAAATTTGACAAATTTCTAAAGTCTTAATAGGACGCCTTTAATCGACAAATTGAATTGAAAAGGGACATGGTGCGACTACGTCATACACCAATATTGACAGCGAATTATAACGAAAGCTTGGCATAAACCCTTACTGTGCCCGAAATGCCGAAGTGGTGTGCGCTTAGGATAGTGGTATACTTATGTGGGACGTCGTTCATTAACCAAAAACGACATAGCGCAGGTAGCTCAACCGAGTCTAATGCAGCACGGATGTCCAGTAGGTGAACGAGAAATTATGGACGAGGAGATATTAAATTTAGTGGTGTAATGCCGATAATTGGACGAGCAAAGTCATCCGACGATACATTAATACTATGGCGTTGACACGTAGCATGATATTCCGTGCGTTTTAGTTTCTGTATTCCGTAGAGTTTAGTATTTCGCTTGCTCCATACATTTGGTAATGCAACCCAGTGTGCTTCTTACTTTCAAGATATGTGTAGTGATGATACAGTTGGGGAGTACATACGCTTCACTGCAATAGTGTGAGTATTTTGAACTCAAAAGACGTAGTGCAATTATTTGGTATAGGTTTATATTTCATGTGCATATTGTATGTTATACGTTAACACACTTCAATGCTTACACAAGTCCACACAGCAGAGGCATACACTAGGGAGTCTGGCAAAATATGTCACCGTTCTTCGCCGACAGGAATCATCCAATAGCCAATGTGAGGGCAACCATTATGAGCGACGAGCCGGATACTAGCGCTCCGAATAACCATTCAGCAGTCATGGGCAAAGTTATTGCCATGTCTATTTCATATTTGTGATATGCACAATAGGCAGCTATACTGAAGAATACTGAAAAACAAAGGAAAGTTGAACTTTCTTAATCACTACGACCCCAGTACATTTGTAGTCATAACATAGTTCAATGTATATACAAGATGAATCAATTTGCGTGTCGGCAAGAATGTTAGATAAACAAAGGCATCACACTCTCTCAAGCGCAATGTACTGCATTGAAAGTGACTTGTCGGATGGATGGTAGTCAAGATAATGACAACGCTTTCGTTGTTCACTATCGGAGGTTTAAAGATGTAGCATGAGAATAGACATCATCCGGCCATTACAGAGAGACTAGAGTAACAAAGTGCGTTTTGTGCTCTGGATCCAAAGGCGGCCGACATAGGACCATTATTCATCAGGATGTAATACAACGGTGGTGGCATAGTCCAGTTGGATTCAGTGGATATGTGACACGCACCCAATGAACAATTGACAATTATTTATCACGGGATAAAGCGCTTGCTTGACATGTCCCGTAGGATGGTTGGGACGAGTATGTTGAAGTCAACTTATATTTCGGTCATGTAGCAAACGTCTGCCAAGATGAATGCTTTGAAATATAACTTCGGTGTCTAATTAAAGGATCGAGCTTAAATGTTCAGAATTACACTGTAATGGTTGATAAAATGGACGAGAAAAGTAAAATATGGTCGCTTACTTAGATCCATTTGATACAAAAATCCTGTAGAAAAACATGCTTGACGTAAATTACATTAGAGGAATTTAGGTAACAAAATTCTAGCAGCTAAGAGCAACAGTGAATCGCGTTTTTGGAAACGTCCAAGGTAGGAGAGGACACAAATTAGTCTGGGAGTGCGTTCCATGGTTGGCATACACGGGAGGTATGGTAATTCCGTCGTTACCCTAGACGGCTATATTGATTCTTCAATTTTACGCAGTTACCCCTGACCTGCGTGTTGTGGCTAAGTTTCAGCAAACAGCAGCATAAGTGGTTGAGGTCACTCAGTATCTGATGCGCTAATATGAGATCGATGCGCAGCCTTCGATAGCATCCGCCGAAAATTCCCAGCAACTTCAACCTTCGGTGGTAAGAGTGGTAGGACAGAACATCTACATTCTTTGTGGTGCCTCTAACGCCGCTAGATCGCGCTTCAACCAAGGTTGCTAAGCTTTGATAGCGCATTCAACATGCGGGCGCACGTAGGAATTGTGCATCATGGGGAAGATTGATGGCTTAAATCTCCCGAATGCCGTTTGCAGCATGCTGACGTGCTGGTTGTCTCTCTTCGCTGCTACCTCAGCCTGTTTTGTACAGTTGAGACCGTTCTTTACGAGCACATCCAGGTCACGTTCCTGAGAGTTGGTCCGCAATCCTTTTGTCTCAACCAAATGTGTGTAGTTATGTCTATGACGTAATTGTACAACGCCACATTTGTCTACGTTAAATGGTAGGGCGTCTCTAACTGATCAGTTCGACACTGTAATAACAGCACACTGGAGCCCTTCGTGGTCCTCTGGCCCCCCGATCCTTTGGCCATACCTTGATATCATCAGCGATAGATAGGAAGTCGGAAGCAACTGATCGCGCCAAATCGCTAATTAACACCAAGAGTAGACGAGGTCCAATCACCGAGCCTTGCCTTACTCAGCACAGCACATCGATTGCACCAAACTGTGATTTTTGGACTATCACCGCTAGCTGTCGTTCGTGTAGAAAATTGCTAATCCAACTCAGGATTGGGTCGCTGATGCCGCAGTTCCGAAGGTTCTGAAGGAGAATTTTATGGTCCTAGCGAGCAAACGCTATTGGAAATTTCAGGTAGGTGACATCGACTCTTGCTTTATCTGCAGAAGCTTCAGGCCAGCTATTACGTGCAGTAATTAGGTTAGTATTACACGAACGCTTTTGACTAGTCATGTTGCTCTGGGGCTATTTAGTTATGGCTTTCCAGATACTGCATTAGCGCATCTGCGGTGATTGATTCCATCACTTTGGATAGTACAGGAGGTAGTGTTGTTGGACGATAGTTGGCAGGATCAGTGAGGCTACCTCTTTTATGGATAGGAGTGATGATCCCTCGCTTCCACACCGGTGAAATGTGGTTTGCTTGTAGACATCAGCGATAGAAAACAGCCAGTGGTTCTGCTAGATCATTAGCTACCGCCTGCAGAACCTTTGGTCAGATGTTGTCGACTCTAGGGGAACTGTGGATACGCAAAGATAACAACTTCTTCAACACAGCTTCCGCTTTGAAGATGACGTTGTCTAAACCAAATGGTGGAGTAATAGAAATGAGGAGAATATTTGGGTTTGTTACCTGCTAGAAAGTTTGGGTGCAATGAAGCCATAACAGCTAAGCTGATTCCATTGTTGATCGAGTGCTTCCATCAGCCGTGACTAGTGTTGGAATCATCCGCTTCACCTTTGGATAGCCGTTAACATGCCTGTACAGCAGTTTGCGGTTCGTGCAGAATCGCTCCAGTAACTATTACTGAATCGTGACTTTGTCTTCGAGGATCAGTTTTACACAGAAGGTACGACGTGTCACGTATGCAGTTCAGATTTCGGCATTCGAGCAGTCATGGCGATCTCGCCATGCTAAATCCCTCCGGGACATACATTTATTTGTTCCGGACCTCAAAAATGACTTATGCTTGATTTTTTGGTTGGAAGGACTTCTGTTCCGATGCGTGCGCTACCAGTGTGCTAAACGTCCTTGTAAAGGTTTCCCAGACAACATTAGTAGATCATTCGGTTAAGAAAGTTCAAGATGTATCCTTAACCATCGTAGATAACACATTATAGTGCGTGACAGTATGCACTTTATCAACCTCCTTTTCAGGATACTCCTCATAGCATATATAGTCAAAGCGTAGAGTAGCATGATCACTACGACCCAGTGGTGTGCTTGTTACTATCCAGTCAACCATGAGTTCTTCGTTATTTAGCACAATATCCAGTGTCTACGGATTGTTAGCATTTCGAAATCTGATGGGAAAGGTTACGTGATTATACAGAGGTTGGCGAACCATTAGCTCTTGCAAGCAGACTTTAAACTGCGTACCGTCGGTTGCTGGCGTTTCTATGTCATGCAAGTTAAAGTCTCCAGTGATAAGAATGTGGGTGTAGGACTTGTGCAAAGCAAACGGAAAGACGTTCAGTTTGGTGTCCATTTTCGACGTTGAGTTTGGTGAGCGGTAAATCACGACTAATAGACATGTGTCCTTGTTTCGCAACCATAAGCGGCACCAAAGAGAATCAGGAGCTCGGATTTCCAGGTGATCGATAACTTCAAGTCAGAGGTTTGTATTACAGTAAAGAATCACACCGCCACCCTTCCGGTTCTATCGTTCCGAAGCAGCGACATGCCGGGTAAATTTATCTCAGAATCAGTTATCTCAAGGTTTAACCAGGTCTCTGTAATCAAGACAAGGTCCCATGGTTGTGAAGCATGGATTTCTCTAAGTTCGGTCAAATTACTTCCAAGGCCTTGGGCATTTGTGTAATGCTAGGAAGGGCTTTTGTTGTTAGGAGTGCGTTGATGGATGTCAACTTTGTGTTAGTTTTTAAGCCGGCCGTTAGGTGGCCGGCCATTAATTGTTTGTTGGTTTATGAATTTTAGTCAAGTTGCATGGAATTATTGAGCTTTCCTGAACAGAAGTCTCACTCGTGCTGCGCTCCGTCCTGTTGTGTGTCGTGGGTGCTGTTGTGTCGGTCTCACTGCAGGACTGTGCCGTTAAATCCATTGAAGCGTTCACAATTTCTATCGAATTGCCTATGCATTTTGGCCGTCAGCCTGCAGCCTTTAGCCGGATCTCTGCTGGCAACGTGGCTCGAAACTTTAACCAGCTATCCAGCAGAACTTGCGTCATTCCGTCGGAGTGTACTATTACTTTTGTTGGTCATGAACTGCAGCCATTGTATTTAGGTGCTGACGGAATTCTTGTCAAAGATTATGCAACAACATTATTAACAGAAAGTGGTTCGCGGATGCAGCAACACTGATCTCTGACATGTGTTTGCGCATCGTGATCAGAAGAATGCAGAAGCTCACGAACAAATATTGTTCTCTTGCTATCCCTATTAGCACTGCCGCTTTGCCCAACTTCTTCTTTTGGGCTATCATTCCAAGATAAATCAGGTAATATGCGGACTCCGCTAGGTGAGTTACGAAGAGGAACTATTGAGAGCAGGTCAGCCTCTGTTTCATCTGCTGAGTCTAGTGTTATTCGAAGAATTTCAACTTCACCAGATTGCATTGAGGTTGTACTGAGGTCGCTTTGCAGCATTGCAGACTCAACCCGAATAATAATTGCTTCGTACCTGGAACTCCACTGGTTGCGATCGTCTTGCAACTTGCCTTTTATTGTGCCAGATTTGGATTCGGGAACATTGGCGCACACCAGAGATAACGCAGGGTGGTTTTGTCCAGCGAGTATCGGCTTTAAAGTTTTGCCGGTAATTTGGGTTGTCTAGAAGGCACCACTGGAGTTGATGGTGAAAACCGGGTTGCGGCAAGCGTGCTCGGTACAGAAAATGGATCTATGTGTGTCGCTCCCGTTGCGTTTGTCGAGGTAATCGATGAACACGTTACGTGCTTGTTATCTGCACCAGATTGTCTTCGGCTCTGAGTTGTCAATGTCATGGCTGAATCTACAGGTGAAGAGTTTATGTTTGGCGAACTGGGAGCAGGTATGTTTGAGACTTATCCAATTATGAGAGTGAGGTGACCCACTGGATTTAGAGTCACAGACGCAGCAGTGCGGTTGGAGGGTCTAGGTCTTTTCATCTGCTAAGATTCAGAGCTTATTTTGGTTGGCTGAGGTATTAGCTTGGCCATATTTACCTCTGTGGGATCGATCTTAGTGTTTATAAAATGCGTGATTATCTCAGTCATTCTATCGCACTTTGTCTTGAGCAAAGATATACAGTTGAATACTGAAAAGACTTGCTATGTTGGGCAAAACCAAATTGTGTCAGCAACTTTGTTTTCTGTCGCAATTCTTGGAAGGATTGGTCTACACATTGCGCAGGATGATTTAATGCAGCTAGAACAGGTTATTCCGATCTTAATGATTTTACTGCAATTGTCTGCGCGACGTAGGCGACGTGGAACCATTGGAATGCTAGTCGTCCTCCTATCGTTGGCAGCAAGACCTATCTGAACGCTCACCAGGATAAGTTTTTTTGTGCCAGGCTTGACACATAAACAAGGAAGAACACGCACACGAATTAAGAGTTGTTCAACTGCACCAGGGTCAGGTGGTAGAGGCAGATGGAGGTCGTAACCCGCAAACTGTCGGGTTCAGCGATCAATTGACTCGCAGTTGAACACAAGCACCCACACAAAGCGGCAGCGCGTGTTGATCGACCTGCCTTTATCGACGATGCAGGTGAAGCGCTGATAGGCGTCACTAGAGCTGTTCAGTTAATGAACGGAGCAAAACGGCTGTAACTTTGTTATGCTGCAACTTGCAGGGTTGGCTGCCGCATAGTTTGGGAGTCCTCAGCTTCTTCTTCCGAATGAGATCAAAATCTTTTCCCAAAAACCGGTTTGATATAGTTACACACGTAGAAGTCGGCAAAGAAAATGTCGCAAACTATGAACTGGAGTAAGAGTATAATTCACACAGGTTAGATCCAAGAGTTGGGAAGCATTGAGTATTGCTCGTCGAACTGGTTCGCACCAACGCACACAAAGCATTGTGTGGGGAGAATTAGAGTGAACATTGAGGGTAAAGCGAGAGCCGAGTTAAATTGCGGCAGCACTGGTTGGACAAAGACGATGTATTCAAGGTCTCTATTTCGTGTGATACACTACCACAACCTTAGGTTATTAACATCATTGTGTGCAACATGAAACATGAGAAAACACTCACGAGCAGCTGCACCAGCCACGGCACCGACGATTCCCTGTATGGCGTCACTGCAGGGACAGCACATGGTGATAAACGCAAACAAAATAAGGCCCGCAAAGATGAACAGCGCTATGAACGAACAAGCCACTGTTGCCTTCTGCGCACCAGTTCGAGGATCTGTGTAAGATTGGAAGAAAACAGTGTGCTACGACAAATCTGGTCCATGTAGAAGTTATACAACGTTGCGAACCTATAACTAGGCCACTCACTTTGCATCACATTTCGATAAGTAATGATTGCACCTAAAGTGCAAGCAATTCCAATTGCACAGGCCGCGATGAGCAAAATCTTTCCAAACAAGCCCATAGCGAATTGTCTACGTCTTCTGTGCGTTGAGCGGACTCACCAAGACTGCAGATTTTATTCCACAAATGTTTGAGACAACGAATTGGGTTTGAGTGTGCTTGACGGTTCGGCACCTTTGATTGGATAAATACGCTTGCCTTAACTGCGGGGACAATTGGCGAAATTAGGTTGTCTTAAACATGCTCCCTGTTAAGAAACATGATGGCAACGAACTAGATGACACCCATAAATAAACCTTAAATTTTTAACATATAACTCTGTATTGTATACGATCGTATTATGAGTACGTTTCGCTTTCAAGGGAGTAGATCCTTCAGGTCAATCTGCTGCATCAATATGAGGAGCAGCATTATTGCATTGTCGAAAACCATTTTACTGATTAGGAGTGGAGATTTGAGTATTATTTTGATGTGATTCTTCGGAAATCATAAATTGATAATCGAGTGCACGTATGAGTCCAAATATTGACCTGTCATAAATACATTTTAGGCAGAAAGCCAAGAATGACAGAGTTTCTGCATGTACTATGACACATCTCGGTTAACCAACACCGAGTTTTTTTTAATTTTGAGCTAACTAATCCCAAGTTATTGGTCGAAACCTACCCAGTGCTTGACAAAGAACATTAAGCCATCCAACACTGCTTACTTTCCAAACTAATCCGCACTGTACATTTGGCGGCGACCAATTGTCAAACCTTGTAGATTAATATCCCGGAGATTTTGAAACGAAATCATTATGTGCTTCGACCTTGCTCTCAGGGGGCCACAGGAACTACTAGTCTCAAATTCAAACGCATCTATGCTGGCTATTATTTAAAAACAGGTAGGACGAGGCACCACGATTGTCTAGCGAAATTAAATTATTAAGGGGACACTATACAAATGAGTTTTAGCCCCAGAATAATGAGTGGTTAAACATTTGACTTCTCCTTAATTTTCATATTTGGTCTGATAGACAGGTGACTCTTGTAAATGAACTAAGCTGTTGTTGCAGAGTGTCTAACCAGATGCGTACGAAGTTTGGATGGGAGGAAGGTAGGTGGAGATGAAAACGGCTACGATAAAGTCACCTGGATGTCTGTCGGTGGTTAAATTTCAGGCTGTCACAGTCTGAGGTGGTCTTTGGCGGTTTGCGAAAAGTCATTGACAGAGATGGTAGATAACCTGAGGATGAAATAACAGCTCTTATCCGTAAATGTTTTGTCGTAAATTCATAGAACTAGGTGAACGGAAAAGTATCAATAACAGCAACTGAAATGATAAAAACGCTGCTAATCTTTTATGGTGTGTTGCGTAAGCTATAAAAGATGATATCGGCAGCATTTTCTACGGATGATGAGTATAGATTCAATGTTTTATCTGAACACACAGTACTTGCTTCCGGGTCTACGACACCACACCATGACAAGCGCAACTACCAAGTAAGGAGAAGGTATCTGGGGTACTAGGGATCAGTAACAATTCTGGCAAGAAACCTGCCTTACCCTCCAGGATAATCCGCTTATCTTTGTTCTCCACCTATCACCCAGCTTTCACATTTGGCTGCATCAATCTGCGCGACAGCGGATACACCTCACTGAACCGTCGTAGAGACGGCTAAATAAATGACGAGAGCCGAGAACACTGTACTCGGTGAGTTCGTACTTGCTTACATCGCCATTCCTGTAAACTGGGTGGAAGAGATCGGCCCCTGATCCAACAGCCAGAAAATAAGACGACTTCTTAGATCCCTGCTGCCTTGCAGGTAGCACGGCTGTGCAAATTCTAGAGGTGAAGCGTCGAACAAAAGACGGATGAGGTTGCGGTCCTTATACATACCCACAATCCATACGAAACCTCATGACATATCCGTCAGTTGGGATTCTTCTCATGCTACGGTGTTCCCGGTAGACGAAACGCTCTGCGCTAACCTAATTACCAGAGTGACAAGTAAGCTAGCTGGGTCCCTCAATCGCCGGAAGCCAATATTCATTGGATGCTGGAATGTCAGAACCCAGTTGGATGTCGCCAGCCAAGCGTTGACCATGTGCACACTACGACTAACAAGTCGATATAGCCTGCCTGTCAGAATCTCTAAACCCGGCTATGGCTAGCGACAAACCAAAGACCCTGGGAGATAGACAACTTTGACAAGAATGGGCTTGCCAAGGCTCATAGTTGTAATGCACACAACGCTCTCCTTTTATGGAAGCCAGTAGCAGCTAGAAGAGAGATTGCTCGCTTCAGTGGTCACCCGATGAGTCCGACCATACTCTCTGTCTACGCACCAACTCTACTCACAAAGGAAAGCGGCCAATACGAAGTTTAGGATACTTTACAGGTCGTCGTGCATCATGTTTCAATACGTGACATCCTCATTATTGCTGATGCCTGACATGCACGAACGGGGCCGAGGAACCATCAGACTGTCACATACTCGGGAGATACACGCTTGGAGAGCGCTGTGCTAATGTAGAGCGTTTGCTCAGTTTCAGTGACCTGAACCGGTTGTGCATAACCAATATTCGGTTTCAGCACTCCAGGAAGCATCTTTTGGCGTGGTACTCCAATGATGGTTGTACAGCAAGCCGGATAGATTACATCTTAATCCGAGCCCGGTGGACATGCTCCACTGATGACTGTCGAGTGTACATAGGGGCTGTAACTGGCAATATACGTGGTTTGGACCATTCACTAGTGCATGGCAAATTCAGACTGCGCTCGACAACGCGCCGGAAAAATCTTCCATCAAGCCCTATTAACAATGCTCTACTGGAAATTACAGATTGCTGCCGATCCCTCGATACAGCAATAGATGCAAATATTACTGTCACCACACCACGCCTCGTGCATGTAGAAGATGAATCTATAGACGCTAGCTGGTGTAGTCAATAATCTTCAGTGCAACGCGTTGCTTTATTTACCCTAGGCTCTGCCTCTAAGTCTGTGAAGGACTAGATCACTGAAGAGACTATCAGCTTACCCGCTAAAGCAGGAGAAGCACATCACATGAATACCCCAGACTACCGTCGCATGAGAAGTAGAGCAAGCTGCTCTGCACAGAATGATCGCAACCGCTACTGGTCTGTTATTGCAGGGAACCTGGTTGCTGTAGGAAATTCTGACAATTTGGATCATCACTTTCCTCATCCGTTTAGCTTCCTGAAAGCACCATTCACTACGGCCGATATTGCGCAATTCAGATGACCAATTCAGGTGATCATCCTCGATACGAAAGGATAACTTTCCATGTTCATTGAATATTTTAACAACTTTCTAAACTGACCAACACATAACACAGCACCCATTTCAGCATTAACCCAGTCAGGAGCTGACGCGGATTGCTCACCAACAACCCCACAAAAATTGCAGACACCGTTCCTCTCCTGAAGCCAAAGGAAACTCTTGGAGCTGACGGGATTCCAGCGGAAATCTACCAAGCTTGACTACCAGGTATCCTTGACAAATTACACGAGCTCTACTACTTTATATGGGAGACCGATTTCTGTCCTTCCTAGTGAAGTACCTCGGTACTACTGCCATTTCCCAAAATAGGTGACCGGATTGTATGCGGTAATTAGCAAGCGATTGGCCTAGCCGAAATGGCTGCCTAAACCTTCGCACAAAGCTTGCTTTCTTGATGTGAGACTGAGAGGAACCCGCGAACTTGCCATAACCAAGGTGGCTTTCGTCCAAGCAGGGGCTGCACTGACCAACTTTTCACTTTAAGTCGGATACCCACCTTAGTGTGCTCCGTTGTTTTTCGTGCTGCCTTTGACTCAGTTGACCATGAAGGCATCTGAAGAATCCTACTTGCCGACGGCGAGCCGACTAAACGCGGTAACTTGATGCGACCAAACTACGGTTGCACAGAGTCCCGGATTCGGGTCTATGGAGAAGAAACCAAGTGATTCGACATTATTACTGGAGTGCAGCAAGGTTGCCCATTGTATCCAGTGCTGTTCAATTTCGCAGTCGACTATATTATGCATCATGCCCTTGTGGGCTCTGGTGGTGCTCAAGTTAGCCCTGACCTCTGGTTGTCAGATCTAGAATTTACTGATGATTTCGCAATCATTGCGGAAGATGCCACGTCACCACAGTCGCTGTTAAATCAAGTCGACTAATCAGCTTCTATGATCGACCTGGAACTTAACATCAGCAAGACGAAGTACTTCTCAGCGTTAGCCGCCCAGTCCGCCCCGCCACTCTCTTTATATGGACAACTTATCGAGTGTGTACCTAAATTCAAGTATGTTGGACTCACTGTTCTCCCCCGTGGTTTGGCGACATCCGAAATCCGGAATCGTATTAACAGCGCCAGAACAGCCTTCTTGCAACTGTGAAACACACTGTGGCAAAGGACGGAACTTAGTCTGCGAAAGAATATCAGAGTAGCTTCAGCAACGATTCGCGCCAGTTCACGCTATGTTTGCGAAACAGCCGCTGCGATCCGAGGATAAGCGGAAGCTGGAAGCCTTCGACCATTGGTGTCTCAGCTTTACGTTGAAAACACAGTGCCATGAGCATATCAGCGGTGTCGAAATCCGTAAGCGTTGTTCTGGTCTTCCGAAGATCTCAACGCTCATTCAACGCCGCAGACTCCAGTGATTCTGTCACGTCCGCTACAGACCAGACACGGACTTCACTAGGGTCGTGGTTTCAACCTCGCTTTAGTAGGGCTGGTCTCGTCGTCGTGGTGAACAAATGAAAACCTGACTCGCTGCAGTGAAATCGGACGTTGATCTGGGACTCCTTGTTTTGCATGGTGTTCTTCAGTAGGGAAATTGTTGGATCTGTAACTGCGTGGAACATACCGCCTGTTATAATCTTCTCACTGGACGCAACTCCAAAAATAACAATTTATTGCTCCACAAAACTTCTAGCCCAACCGAAGGAAAAAGCAAAACGCCAACGACCTTGGCAAAACAACGTATTAATCGCCGTCAACGAGCACTGTACAACGACTGAGGAGCTTGGCTGTATTTATAGGTCTCTATGGACTTTCGACTTCTAGAATTGGAAGGTCAGCTGCCAAGGTTAGTGGTTCCCCATATCTTTTGCCGAGATGTCAGGTGGCTTTTAATCACGTGCAGAAGAAGAACATTCCGAAACGTACGAAATCGATGCGATAATCGTTAATAATCGATTAATCGCTAAAATAGGGAATTTCCAAGGCAATTCTTACTTTCTCCCGGACACCTTCCCTCCTGAGATATGGTCCGAGGTATAAGACGAAGGCCTGGGATTAACTTGCAGTCTTCGGGACGGTGTTCTCTGCCTGTCGGTCCACCTCCTTGGCAGAAGCGCCCGAGAACTTTGTTCCGACATTCTTGTTCTGGATTCGTTGCTCGACGTTGTGCAGTCGTCCATTGCTACCTTCGGCAGGTTGAAAGTTTCCACCAGTAAATCGAACGGGATGTCAGTAGGCCTTTTTTGTTCTGGCTGGCATAATGTGGGCCGTAACTGGTTTACATGCCGTGGCCAAATTTGTGCGCCTACCATCACGTCATACATGACTTTTCCGCACTTGCTTTTAACCGTCCCTGGCGTCCATTTCGCATGGCTTTCCCGGTAGTCACGTACTAGCACCTTCTGTCCAAGCGTCAAGAAGGCTTTTCTGCTCCATGCCGCCGGTTAAACTCCAGTTCCATTCTGCGGTTCCTTTCACAAACAGAGGACTCGGAGCCCGGTCTGATGGCGTCGAAAGGCATGCGGAGCTTCCTGTTCATCATGGCCTGTGTTGGAGAGACTCCGTCTGGCGCTTGTGGATTCGGTGTTGACCGGTAGAGGAAAAGGAACGGATTAACCACCTCCTCTATACGTCCCTCTCCTTTTGATTGGTGTAGAGCTCGCTTGCATTTATCGACAAACCTTTCTGCTTGGCCATTCGACTGTGTGTGAAACGGCGGCGAGCGAACGTGCTGTATGACGCATTGTTTGCAAAACTCCGTACACGTTGCTGAAGTAAATTGTGAGCCAATGTCGGTGACAATTGTCTCAGGACAGCCGAATCTGATAAAGGTTTGGCGCAGTTTCGATACGGTGGCATTGGTGGGGGTGTTCTCTATAAGAAATACTTCAGGCCACTGGCTGTATGAATCGACGATAATGAGAAAGCTTCTGCCGTTGATCGGTCCCGCAAAGTCGACATGGATGCGGCACCATGGCTTAGTAACTATTGGCCATGAACAGAGTTCTACTTTTTGTGGCGCTTTCATGACATTGACACACCTTTGACAGCGTTTAGCTATTTCTTCTACCTGTTTGCCCATGAAAAGCCAATATACATAACTGTGGGCAAGCGCCTTCATCCGGTTGATTCCAGGATGCCCGGCGTGGAACTGCCGAATAGGACGCTCCTTAATTGCCTTGGGGATGATCAATCTCCGAAAATAGTACGCAGTCGTTTACAATAGAGAGTGAGTGTCTCTTCTGAAAGTACTGTTGCAACTCAGCAGTTGGACATGAATGTGGCCAACTTGTTTTGTGAAACTGTGTAACTTTCTTGAGGATTGGGTCCCGAAGTGTTTCGGTTCGTCCAGCCTTTGCGGTAACTGGTAGACCGTGCAATGCATCAGTTACCAGAAAGTTGACCTGAGGTTTAATCTCGACCGAGGCAATGATAGTGTCCTCATGTTCTTGCTGGCGGGCATCAGTTAGGCGTGACAATGCATCCGCTTGGCCAATGAAAACTGTGTGGTCGGCCGGTGGCCGAGTGGTCTGCAAGTTTCCTTTGCAACCATAAGGTCACCGGTTCGAATCCGCGTAGGGGTGGGCGTCCTCGCGGTATACTCAGCCCGCGCGCGACTGGTGGTGGTCGCGCGGCAGCGAAGCGTCGTTACGGCGTACAGCTGACACATCATTATTTTATTTTTTAATGGAAACTGTGGACTGGTATTGGATCTCGAAACCATACCCCATTAATGTAAGAGCCCAACGTTGTAACCGGTTGGCTGTGTAGGCCGGAATGCCCTTTTTCGAACCAAAGATAGCCAGCAAGGGCTTGTGATCTGTCAGAAGCTTGAAGTGGCGGCCGTATAGCATTTTGTGGCATATCTTAACTGCGTGCACTATGGCCAATGCTTCTTTCTCAATCTGGCTGTAATTCCTCTCGGCCTTCGTAAGGGTTCTGGCGGCATGGGCGATTGCCTCCTGAGAACCATCGGCGTATGTGTGTGATATTACCGCACCAATTCCATGGCTTGATGCATCTGTTGCCTTGAAATTCGTACAGTGGCCCAAGCCATCCCGAAAGAGAGAAGCAAATCTTCGCCTCAGGATACGTGTCCTGTATTCGATGGACTTTGCGGATGGGTCTGGACTTGCTCGAACTCGGTTGCAGATCTGATTCAAGGGAACATCGAGGAGATTCAACTTTTCAATCCAGTCGAGGCCAAGAAGATTCAAATTCGGCCGGTCTGAAATGTAGCATGTTCCAGACTTTTCCACACCTTGGAAAGCAATCTTGCAATTAAGTTCTCCCACTAAGTGTAACACACCGCCAGATGCATTATGCGCATTTATCCTCACGGATCCGGAAACCGTACGACTGTATGCAACCAAGCACTTCATCCAAGCGATTAGTTCTTCCGGTGTTCGACCCATCACTATGATATCGTCCAGATATGCAACGGTTCCAGAAACACCCGTTAACATGGTGTCCATCAACTTTTAGAAGATGGCTGGCGCCGTTTTCACACCAAATGACAAGCGGTTGTATTGGAATAGACCACGATGAGTGTTGCTCGCCAACAACTCCCTCGAGACATCGTCAACATCCACTTGCAGATAAGCGTCGGATAGATCAATCTTAGCAAAATACTTACCACCATTCAACTTTGCAAAGATATCCTCCGGTACAGGTAAGGGGTACTGGTGGTCGTCCAGCGCGGCGTTGAGGCTAGTTGAGAAGTCAGCGCAGACGCGTACCTTGCCATTTGCTTTCTTCACTGCGACAATAGGTGCGGCCCATGATGAGTAGTTGACGGCTGTGATGACTCCGGCACGTTCCAGTCGATCAAGTTCATGCTCAACGGTTGACATGGCTGCATATGGTACCGGTCTTTTAGCCTTAAACACCGGTTCAGCACCTGGTCGCAAGTTCAGCCATGCTTGGAATTTCGTACAGCGGCCCAAGCCATCCTGAAAGACAGAAGTAAATTTGCACTTCAGGGTACGTGTCATGTCCTCGACGGACTTTGCCGATGGGTCTGGACTTACTCGAACTCGGTTGCAGATCTGATACAAGGGAACATCGAGGAGTTTCAAAATTTCAATCCAGTCGAGGCCAAGAAGATTCAAATTCGGCCGGTCTGAAATGTAGCCGGTTCCCGACTCCCCACACCTTGGTAAGCAACCTTGCAATTGAGTTCGTTCACTCAGTTTAACACACCGCCGGATGCATTAGGTGCTACGTCCTGAGACTCGACCATCGTTGGCCTCTTTATGTGCTTCCATGTGCTCCTGGAAATAATCGTGATAACCGAGGCCGTGTCACATAGCAGCTTTGTTGGGATCCCATTGATATACACAACGATAAACGGTTGCTTCGGTTTACACTCACTTTGGAATGCGGCAACTATGGACAGGGACACCGTGCCATCCTTTCTAGAATTCCCCTTTCGATAAACTTTACTTTCTTCGTCCGGACCTGACTGCCACATTATCTCTTAATGCCAACGCTTATGCACGTTTGACAAATATGATGTTTGAAGGGACAAAAGCTCGCGAAATGCCATTCGCCGCATGACCAGCATGCTGTGGGACGGTTTGTTCGTCGGACTCTTGAAGGGTTTGCTTCGTTGGGCCGTCCTGGCCTTTTTAACGAGTTGCACGGAATCTGGTGGTGCATGGCCATTGCGTCCGACCGTGGCAGTGTCGTGCTTTAGAGTGAGCAACCGTTTGCATTCGCTTACGAGGGTCTTCAGTGTCAGATCAGGATCCTGATCCAGCTTAGATAAAAGCAGCGTGGGATCTCAGCATCACTAGGCGATGGTAGAGCGCTGACGGAAATGAGACACTTAAACTGATCGTCCGTTAGGGAGCGTAGTTTGAACCAATCGCACTTACGGGTAATCATGTCTGCTAACGCCCCAAAGTCGTCAGATTCCGGTTTGACAATTTTCAGGCATTGCGAGCGAATACTAAACAAGGATACTGACTCCTACAAATGTCCTTCAGCTGCGACGCTACTTCATCCAACGTCAGATCCCTCGGCTGTTTTGGTAAAATGTGGTCAATGAACCTTGAATGTTCACTTATTCCGTGCTCGGGGGGTAGCAATCGCAACTTCCAGGAGTCGTCCTGACGACTAAAATTCGTCTGGAACATGTCTTCCTAAGCGCTTGACCACGCTTCGAATGTGCATCCAGAATCTGCATCATAATTGGAATTCCGTGTGGCGTTGGTGAGAAGTCAACATCACTCGCCTGCATGGGTCCTGGGCTGCTGCTCCGGTTGTCTTGCAAACTCAACATTGTGTCCAGATTTTCAATCGATTTGCGATTTATGCTCCATTTGATGCTTGCTGTTGAAAAGCCTTTTTTGAAATCGGTCAGCAGAAAATAACATCCTATCTCCAATTTTCTTCTTCGACAGATTGTTTAATAATCTTCTCAACTAGAACGCCGCCTCTTGAGATAATTGC